GGGGGCCCAGCAAAAAAAGTTTGGGAACCACTGCCCTAATGAATGCTCAGAGGGTCATAGTGGCCTCGGACCCGTCTTCTGTGTGTGCTTGTGAGTGGTTGGATGTGTGGTGGAGTAGGCAGGCTCTCATAGTCAGGAGTTAGACCCCCATTTTTGTTGGTGTTTGTGATCATGAAGCCGATTCCTGATGGGTAAATGTCTGTCCCCATTGGCTGCTGCCTCTACCACAAGAGGTCAAGCCTTGGTGCTGTCCAGGATGACTCACATCTCTGGGAACTTGGCCATGGGAGCCCAGACAGAACCTTCTTATGACTTTTAACTCCTTTACTTAGATCTTGTTTGCCAAAGTTGCTAAAGGCTCTTTGTCATGCAGCTTGGCTCGAGCTGAACTAAACAGTGAGATTGAGCTTTTAGGCATTAGCAGTCACTGCAACAATGTAAAAGAAAAAGGGTGTGCTTGCTTTTTAGGAATACAAAACAATGCTGCTGCAAAACAGGAATGCAGCAAAACAATCAGGATTATGATGTTTACCAGCAGCAGGATCATAACAGATGTGATACGAATATCATCAAAAAGACAGAAAATTAACTGTTAATTTTTTTTTAAATGAGCCTCAGAAAAGCTACACTACTCTGTGGCAAAGACTATAGACACTTTTCTCCTTAAACACAATACTTCATTTGGAGTTTGATGACATTGGCAGAGGCTGCTGTTCAAAATAGCCCAGAGGCATTCAACCAGGTTGAGGTCTAGTGACTGTATCGTTTTTATGAGTGTTAAATTGGTGACCCTTTGTGTCCTATATGGAAGTATGTGCAGCTGTTATGTAGTCACATATTCACTTTTACATTTGAATTACTGTCTGACTCCATATTATGCAATTTTCAATAAAGAGCTGTAATAAGGGCTACATAGCAAAACAGCAGTTCAAATGGTAATCGGGAAGTAGGCAACTACAGTTTGAGTAAAGATGCTGGACGGTGTCCCTTGGGTGTGAGGAACCAAGCTTTTATTTACAGGAAGCAGTTCTGAATAATGACTTGTAATGCCGCAGCACTGAGAGTAAACTCTTTAGAAGCATGGGACCAGTCTAAGCAGGACTGGGCTCCGGATCAATCCAGCTGGCAGACACAACAACCCTGTTGCTTTGCCATAGTCCCTCTCTCACTCTCACTTCATTTCTCTTCTCTCTCTGCAGAGGCATGGGCTATTTTTAGCCCTGGCAGCTCTTTCCCCACTGCACCCAACCACAACCAGCCATCGCTCGTTCTCTCTCTCTCTCTTTCTGTCTCTCTCTCTCTCTCTCACTTCACAATTCATCCCTTCATATCAGCCTGGCCTGAGCCTCCATCCTAACCTCCAACTTAACCCAGTGTACTCCCTGAAAGATCTGCTCTGATCCTCCACTCAGCTCCTTTCCTTCCTTTGCTCACTCCTGATGTCTGAAAAAGCTGGGCGCCACAGGGAGTGCTGGTAAGTTGAGGAGATGTATCGGGAAGGAAATCCTGCTCTTCCTCTCTCTTGTCCTCTCTAATTTCCCAAACAAGCTGAGCCCAGACTCACCCACCCCATGTTTGGTGTCAGCTTGAGTTTTGATCTTTTTTCCTTTTTTTTGGTTTTGTTTTGTTTTGCTTTTTTCTTTCTTTGATGGATTGTTTGGTACTGAGCTGATGACTGACTGGCTGATTATCGCTGCAGGCGTGCCAAGACCTCGGCTGTTGTGTGTAGAAAGGCTTTTACATTGAAAGAGAATGACGGGGTGATGAGCGCTAGCTGAAAGAGAGGACCTGTCCATATAGATACATGTGAGTGTATGGGTGTGTGTTTTTGTTTTGAGATCAATAAATGCAGAGAGCACTTGAGAGATGCAAATAATTATGTACCAAACAGTAAGAGTAAGAAAGAGCCTAATAGAAACTGAGTAAATTAATCAGGCTGAATACTCATTGTGTAAGACTTTGTACACCTGAGTAGAAAACTCTATTTCTCTGTCAGCTATCCTCCTTCATCAGACCATGACCGGCTCTTACAGTGTGGGCGAGGCGGTCACTGGGCTGCCCTTGAGAGTGCATCCTCAGCCAGCCTTCACATGATAATGAGGCAGGCCACACGGACGCTGGGCGATACACGCAGCCCCTGCCCGCCCTCACGCCTGCCTTTGTGGGAGATAAGCATGCCATTTCACTGAAAAAGCACGGCAGGGAAGCTAACATCCTGGGAATAGTGCCAGGTAAAGGCTGAAAACTGAATCTGGGGCTTCAGCAGGTGACCACAAACTTTACTTGTTAATTAAGTAATGCGAATAAATTTTCATTCTTTTCCTTTTTCTGCTTCTTCCCTCCCACGAGAGCTGTTTGCCTAGACTGAAAACACAACCAGCAGAGGTTGATAAGACTCCCAGAGAGAGTAATGTTTTGAGTTTATTTTTGCTCGCACACGAACCACTTTACTCCATGTTACATCTGAGCTCATGCCACAGCGCCACACAAGGGGACAACAGTTTCCACAGCACAAGAAACTGTTCCTATAGCGTCTCAAACAAAGCGCAAACATGTGCCACGTACATTTGCATCTTATTAACAAAAGCATCGTCCAGATGCAGCACATCCTACAGCTATCTTCTCACCTTCTCATGACATTCCACATCACACTACTCCTCTGTGTTCTGTGATGCTGATTATATTCTCATGCTGAACAGTGTGATTGAATATAACCATGAGTCTCTTTACCTTACCACCGCAGGTCCGGGCTGATATAGGCACTGCTATATCTTCTCTCATCATCTTTCTTTTTACTTTTCTTTTCTGTACAGGAGAATGCCATTTCATACTACGATTCCAAAGCGGATTCAGACTATGTGAGTACAGTACGGACTGCTACCCCCTCCCACACACACGTCTGCCTGCCTTAAACCCCAAATCCCACCCACTCAACTTCCTACCCCTGCCACCGTGTCCTGCAACCCTACCCCATCCTTTCCCTTCTCGGTGTTGATGCACCCCTCCCCGCCTTCCCCTTCCTCCGGTCATAGGCCCCTGGGCTGTCTGTGTGCGTTAGCGAGGTGACACTGCTATATGGTGAGCTGGTGTGACAGAGCAGGGCTAGGCTGACATGCATGTGACAGTGATTTTAGATGTCCTCCCTCCAGTCTAATTTCCAGAGTTTTCTCCTTCCTCTGGACCACGATGGTTGTCAGACCTCTGAGCCCATCGAGACACCTCAGACCTAAACACGGGTCACATCGCAGTTTCATACAGTGGGAACAATTTCTATCACTCGTGCCGTTCACACTGAAGAATATGAGTGGTATTCAAAGAAGCAGAAAAGCCCAGCAAATCATTGGTCTCACCAGGCCGCCACTCTGGTTGCAGCCTGCAGTTCCTCCTCAGGATGGGGTGCACTTGGAGCCCGTGCCCGCTGATTGATTAAGTTTCAAGGAGGAGTGCAAGAATCCTCTTTAGATCACCAAAGCACAAAAAAAGGATGGGAAGAGAGTGAGAAAGGGAGGCAGAGGAGCAATAAATCATGATGTGATTTTCTCTTTGTGCACGCCACTCCCTTGATTAATGACACAGCGCTTTAGGGCCTGTCAGCGCATCTAATTGGAGAACATCGGTCATCATTAACATGGCACGCTGAGGCCAAACCAGCGACACACCTCTGACCCCCACATCACCAAGTCCACAACCACCACCACCCCCAAAAAAGACAGGATAAGTCAGGCAGAGGTCATTCCTCTCGAAAATCCCAACAGTAGTCCACCAGTACTCCCTTGTCTGAATCTTGATTCCTCCCTCGATGACTTTTTCTTTCAGTTAAGCTCCACTTCTTGAGTAAAAACCTTTTAATGTTAGAGCAATGGGATGTTTGAAGACTGTTTTCAAGAATGGTAAGTAACTGGCAGGCTCTTTTCTCTCTTCTACACTGTACCCTGTTAACTTCTCCTGTTGTCAGTGTGCGCTTGATATAAATGTGGAATGCGATGATTCATTTTAAGTTAAAAACCGGTCATGTCCCAAAGCATGTCTGATGTTCATTCTAATGTGGAAGCTGAAGAATGTTTTATTTGCCTCTTTTAGATATGTTCAGCTATTGAGCTTTTTAAAAAGAGAGTTTGTTTGGATGTGAAATAACACTGTGACTTTTGGGTCCCGTGTGGCCGTGCGTTAAAACACTTGTATCTTTGCAAAAACAAACAAAAGCAGCTCCCTCTCACCTCCTAAAAGATTATAAGATACGCTTCGGCAGAGAGCAGACAAAGCATCCCGGGTGAAAATGCAAATATTATTTGGACTGCGTGATCCCGCTTTCAGCGCAATACTTATATCTGCCTGGCTGAAAAATATTGTCAATCATGTCTCACTAGGTTGTAATTTACTTGGAGGACAAGCATCAGACACATAAAATATATTATTACAAGTGTGATTAGTGTAATTGTGACTCAAAATTGAAATGGTTTTTCAGATGTGACGTGCAAATGCAAATAGCACTACTTGTTAAGTATGTTAAACATCTGTTTAGTGCTCATATTGTTGCTTTCTGTGAAGCAGCCATTGTTTAAAAGGATTATCTTAGTCTTAGGTTATCATAGTCTTTTTTTTCCCTCCACCTAAGCACTCTTTCGTGCAAGCACATACACGGGGTCACAAGCGGCATGTCTCAGGTTAGCCCTGGTTGGCTGAAGGTGAGATAGAAAGAAGCTTTAAAATGTCATCTCTGGCCTCTTCAGTCTTTAATGAAACCTTGAGAACGGGTAGATAAAATTAACAAATTGGGTAATGAATGGGGCAAAACAGGTGGTGGATGGTTGAAGAAAATGAACCAATCAGTCTTTCCTGTGTGGATTTATTCAGCTCCTAATTAGACACTGCCTTGGTTAATTATGATTGGGCTCTTCTGAAGAAAGGGGAGGAAAAAAAAGAGGCTCCATGCCCGACATTGACAGAATTAGTGTCACACTGAGTGATAAACAAACTCACAGTTAGTGCCGCTGAAAAGCCAACATCCCTAACCCAATCAGGTTCACTGTTGTTTGATAGTCAAAGCTCAAAGCATTTCAGATTCACAGCGGAAACAATATGTTAAACTGACATGAATCCAGCAGACATCTATTTGCTATCAAACCCCTGTGTAACCAGTATTATAGTGTGATCATGCTTTTACAATAACTAATTCTTATGTGGTTTCCTTCTTAGAAAATTGCCTCCCTCTTTAGCTTAGCCTCAGTTTATTTTTCTTATGAAGTAGGAACATAAAAAGCCCCATTAAACCAGGACAAGAGGACAAAATTATGTGTATTATGTATTTATTGTTATTGCCTGATAGTGTAAGAATTGTGTTTGTAACTTTTAATGAACTGGGAGTGTTTAAAGAGAGAGACTTTGAAAAATCCTGGCACATGCCAATGTGGCTGACATAGGCGGTTGCCTGTGTCAGGGTTACAGTAACAACATTATCAACAAAAACAGGTTTTTAATTACAGTAATGAACATAGTACACCCCCTGAACTGTCAGTCACAGGTTGACAATATGAAGGAATAAACGGTGCCTGCTATCAAAACTGATACATGTAATCAATGCACAACAACATGCACTCTATTCATGCTGCCAACTCAGTGACTTTTTTTTCAGGGAAAAAATACAAAACAACTCTGAACATCAGGGTTTTTCCACATTTCAGCTGCAGCACTGGTTAATTACTGTTACAAAGAGCATAAAAAAAAGCACACACAAGCTTGTCTATAAAGGAATTAATCCTGGTTGGGGTTTTTGCTTACTGCTGTTTGTAGGTGTCTTTCTTTTGACAGTATTAAAAACCTGAAGCTTCACAGGGTTACCTCAAGCAGCAGGATCCATATGAGCACTGTGAAAATGAGAGAACTGTTTGCATTTACAATATGAATTATTCCAAAAGTAGACAGAATAGAATAGGGCGGGACTCGAAGCTTTTACAGACATAGTTCTTTTTACACCGCAGCAGAACTTCGCTATTTTATTACCAGTGGAGGTTTACTAAATTCAAAATATTTTTCACGTGAACTGTATTTTTATAAGTCTTTCCTCTTAAATTCAAACTCAAAATTTGTGGTAGACTTTATTCTACATTTGTTGTGTGCAACAGATCTTCCATATAACTAAACAGAGGAGGTAAACTCTCTAATATTAAAGAAACAATGGGTATAGGTGGCCTTGTAACAAAAAACATTTCATTGTGCCGTGAGTTTAAGTTGAATTAGTAATTTAGTTAGTGGAACTAATACTCATTTTTAATTGAATTTTTTTGAGAGGTCATTAGTTTTAATGTTTAACTATTTTAAAAACACAAATAAAGTAGAGGTCTATGGGTTAAATATCATATGTGCAAGCATACTGTATATTTTCCCTGTGCTATAATATATTATTTATAGTAATGAAAACTTTCCCCTGAGCTGGGGAACAATACTCACAATACTCATCGTCTCTTCTGCTGTCTTTCAATGGGGCTTCAGCAAAGCTATCGCTCGGTTCATTCCGACAACAGTTTGTAATTGCATTTTAATAGTCAATTAAAGTGTGCCCATCAATCAAATTTTGCTCTGGACGTTGGGTTTTGATTTAATTTCTTCAAAAAACAACCTTTTTTTTTCATGTCAGATCCAATTAACCCGTGCTGCTTTATCAAAGCAATGCGATGTGAAATGCTGCTCTTTGGCTATCCGAATGCACGGAGAATGATCTGAGATGTGAGTTTTTTGTTTTGCAAGCATTAAGTGAATGAAATCAAATGAAGGTTCACTAATAAAAAAGGAATTAGAGAAGCACGATGCCTGAGTTTGCTGAGGGCTACTTCTGTATCACAGGTTGGTGCATGAGTACACATAAATTCAATATTTCTTTTTACTTTGTAGCAAGGAGTCAACCACGTTGACTTGTCAGCTTTACCTGTTTATTAGGAGTGCATCTAACAGGGCTTTAGAGGGCACACACAGTAATATCAGATCAAGATGAGCTAATAAACAGAGTCAGGCGGCAGGCTTATATCTTGTTTTTTTCATTTTTTTCACAACCTAAAATCTCTTCATCCGGTGTTAACAGGCACAGATTGTACTACAGTGATAGCTTATCAAGATAAAAAGCTCAAATGTCAGTTTAGCTCTTAATATTCAGGCTCTCTTTGATATCTAGAGTCCCTAATGTAATATGTGTCAAGCTTTCTCATCTTTACTCTCGGTGCTGAACACGCTATAAGGTAGAAAAATTAGATGCTAATTATTTATTTCTTTAAATGTTAAATGTTCATCGGTGAGAGAAGCGAAACAGCGCTGCTCTCGTTCGTCCTGGCGGTAAACTAAACAGTGATTAAGTGGTGCTAGGTGCTAGTTATTGTTGAGGTTAATTTGTGCGACACCTCATGTGTCTGAGATTGTCATCAGGAGTACTAATGAGTGCCCCCGTTTGGTGTCTGCGCTAATACCTGCTATTGTTCTCCTACGAGAACAGAAGCATCTAAACCAGGAAGCAGACAATAGGTCCTGTAAAACCACAATATGTGAGGTGACAAAATACGGTTCTACACTAGCGTGTATCTCCATCTTTTTCCTGTCTGTTCTTATTTGTGTTCTCACTTAGATTTGTGTGTGTGTGTGTGTGTGCGCATGTGTGTCTGCAGACTGAGGACGGGGAAGAGGAGAATCCACTGGAGACTTCATCGTCTTTGGAACTGGAGTTTGTGGACGATCCCAATTTTAAAAACAAGGTCAACTACTCTTCGAGTGCAGTCCAGATTCCTACAGACATATACAAAGGCTGTAAGTTGCAACTTTTTTGCTGCTATTGTTTACATTGTTGGTATGTGTGTGAATGGCCTGTGTGAGATGGTGGTGAAACGGTGGAAAGGAAGGCAAATTTGCAACAATGAATGCACCTTCGGATTTGCACAGCTGCCAGCAGCTTTCACATATGTGCTGGATGCACCAAAAGGCCTGTTTTTCATGGTAGCAGTGGGTCATGGATAGATGACAGTCTGTTTAACTTGACCTCTCTTCTTTTTCTCAGCATGTTAACACAATCTCTCCCTCCTCCACTTTAACACACTAACATGATTTTTGATGACAGACACTCCCTCACACCAGATCTGCACTATTATTTTTTTTTCCTTTTGTCATGAGTGGGCACAGTCCCCCCTGCTCACGGACCTTGCCCTTCCTGCTTGGCACTGTCCTGCCCTGTAGACATAACACTCTCCTTACTCTGTCGCTGCCAAATGGACAAAAGCGAACACGCGTACTTTCCGGGACTCTGATTTCATTTGGCATGCTCCCTCTGTTATCCACCTCTAACCTTTTGGATATTCTATGCCTGTCTCTTTAAAGACTCAAAAACCACAGCATGTGCAGACAGACAGCCATTTTCACAGTGGCAGCTCTCCTCCTCCTCCCCCCCCCTTTTCTGTTATTGTCTAGCTCTTCACTGTCTTTGTTGAACAGGCAGTATATGGCACCTGTCTGTAACAATGCCCTCCAGCTGTGTCTCCAGACGAATCTTGTCAGAATTAGACACTCTTGGTTCAGGAGGAGATGTCAAAGGCCACAGCTAACTCACAATAGAGCAATCAGGCCTGCACATTGTTCCCGGAGCCATTTTGTTGCAGCTCTGGTTCCCCTGACTGAAGATATGAGTCAGAGAATAAAGCCCTCTTGATTGAGGCTGGTGGAGACTACAGGAGTAGAGTGGTACTGTGCACAGAGTTAGTTTTTGCTCCGCTGTTCTGTGGAAAATGTTTACTATTAATGTTGTTTAGTTAGCTCCCATAGTGCGGTCTGCTGTGCAAAGATTACCAACTGCAGACTTTGTGCCAACTCCATTATGAACATGTGTGCTGTGTTTTAGCTGTGGATAAATAAGTAATTGAAAAACATGTTGTTAAACAAATGTGCATTAATTCTTTAAAAATGTCCTGGAATCAGTCTTTAGATACTAAAGGTAGAGCTTCCTTTAGCTAATGTTAAAAAGTAAATTCAATCTGCTTGATCTATAAAATCCTTGCAGCTCTTAGAGCAGGAGTGTCCATCTAATATTACATCGTGGGCCACACCTTGTAAAGCCAAGTGTATCATATTTGACACATGAGGTTTTTTGGTTTTTGAGACATTTTTTCCCCAAAAAAGCCAAAAGAAATTACACAAGCAATAAATTGCAAAATTGCTATATCATATTTTTTATTGATGTAAGTTAGAACTCATATATTTGAATTACCATTATTATTTTAATTTCATCAGAAAAGAAGTTTTCATGGTTCAAGCTTGAAAGTGTTAATTGGACCAGACAGGACAGTGAAACTCTCTTTTCTTACAGTGTAAAGACTTTTAAATAAACATTTAATCTCTCAAATATCTTCATATAAAAAGTGCAATTTTGTATGTATCAGTTTTTCGACATGACAAATGTGTATAATTACTGAAAAAGTTCTGGCAGCTCATTGCCCAGACTGCATTTAAAGTTTGGTTCATTCACAGAAGATAGAAGAAGTTTATCTATTGCTTAACTGCGTTGGTGTACTATGAATGACAATAGGTGAGGTCTTTATCAACAGTAAAAGCTGTAAAACTTATCAAAATACTGCTAACAATTTAAACTTCCTAACTGGCAGACCACAGGCAGTAAGGATGGGCGGACATGTCTCAGCCTCCACCACTCTCAGCACTGGAGCCCCCCAGGGGTGTGTTCTGAGCCCCCTGCTGTACTCTTTGTACACATATGACTGTGTGGCCACTACCAGCTCCACCACCATCATCAAGTTTGCTGACGACACCGTCGTGGTGGGCCTGATCTCTGATAACAACGAGACGCCCTACCTGAAGGAGATTAGGAATCGGGAGAACTGGTGCCAGAGGAACAACCTCCTTCTAAACGTCAGTAAGACAAAGGAGTTGATAGTGGACTTCAGCATATCGCTTCAGATGAAGCTGTGGAAAGTCAGATCAACCAGCTTCTGACAATTTAAAGACACAGCTTTATTGATTTTGACACTATTGTCTTAAATAAGAAAACTAAAACAGAAAAAAGTGCTAATTTATGTTAATTAGTATATTGTTTGACCCTTCTGTGCTGCTGGCAAACTGATGTACTTAATCACAATAAGAAAGTTAAAAATAAATAGCTTATGTGGAAAAAAATGGGCAATTTTACCCTGTTGCCAGGTGATTGCTAGGTATGTATAAATCAAAGCTGAGTTAGTGTTAGCGCTGTGAAATTAAAATGATAAGATGTTTTCATAAAGTGTTGTAGCTGCATAAAGGCAATTTATTGGCGTATAAAAATATAATATATATGTATATATGCTGAGTACAGATGAAGTCCTGACAAAAAGTTTTTACTTTTTGAAACGAGGATCAATCTAAAGGTAAAGTGTGTCACACATGAGCACAGTTCAACACTGTATGCGTGTTGGTGTAGTTTCCTTTTAATGTGTGTGTAAACTATCCACATGTATATGTATGAGTAGATGACTACTGAGCTGGTGGAATATTTTAACTAACACTTAAAGGAATTTACATCAAGTTTTTATGATGGCTCTACAGAGACGGTCAGAGTGGATTGTTATCTATATGTCATCCTCTGCTGTGGTCCAACCAGTGGGAGCCTGCAAGGTGCCTTGGATGTCTGAGGAAACTAATGTGGGCGGTTTGTTGTCCTCTGGGTCTGAAGTGCAGAAGCATTGTATGTGGGTAGATTCAGTACTTATTTCTCAGGGGAGGCCAGAGGAAAAAGAAAACACTAGGAAGAACAGTGTACAGTCCAAAGAACAGCATAATGTTCAACAGTTGATCAAAGATAGTGTGCTATTTATTAGCATGCATGCTCTGTGTAGTTGAAGTAGCTTGCTTTGATTTGCACACATTGTTAATGCACTGAATAAACTGACTATTTTACAGAAAATGGCAGTTTGTATTCTCTATTGCATCCAAATGGGTGTCCTTAGAGATGGGCTTTGAGAGAGGTGTAGATAGAAGAACAGATAGAAGGAAAAGAGGTGAGAGGAGAAGAAACACTTTAATAATAGAAACCATTTAGTGAGGGAAAAAAAGAATTTTCTTTCCTTTTTTTTTATTGTGATCCTTTCAGCAAGTAAATGAGGCGAGGTATGCGTCTTGGTTTGATTTGTCTGCTAGGCCCCATGTCCGTTTATTGAGATTGAGAGTGTTCCCTGAGCGCAGTAATGAACCATTTTATGATTCATTATCCCGCTGCTGATTCCTGCTGCCAAGTCTGCAAACTTTCTAATTAGCTTAGGTCAAATATTCATACAGTTTTCTTCTAATTATCATTGCCTATTACAAAATGGACATCACAACACAACCACTGAGGAATAAAGTGAGGTGGCTGGCGTTGTCCATGGGGGAAGATGTTGCAGAAGTAGTGGGGCGATGCAGGGAAGAAGGGCTCTGGGAACATAATCTCACATAACAAATAAGCACAAATATTGATTAAAAAATAAGTATAAAAGCAGTGAGCGGATATATGCAGGGGTTAAAGAGGCCCATAATGATTCAGAACGGCTTTTGACACCTTCACATAACAAGCAATTAAATCTGGTAGGCAGGTTCCTGCATATTACTGGTGAATGAATGAATTTTGCGTGTGCTGCAGCCCAACGTTGCTTTCAGAGATACCTGCTCAGTAATAAGAAAATAATGAAATGATTGCATTTTTTTTCTCGTCCCTGTGATGTGTTCATGGTGCAGATGCAGAAGTTGCGGTCGCTGTACTTAAGCGTCTAGCTAGCTAATGAAAAGGTGCAAACATAAACAGAGTACATTTTTCTAAGTGGCAGCTAATTTCAAACTATTCGCACAGCTCAACTAACATCAGCAAACACGCAAACTGTTTCTGTGCTGTCGGTCACAAAGATGTGTCGGCGAGCTTTGTTCTGTGTAGGGGTTAGAAAATCAGCAACAGAGCTCGTGAAACATCTGCTTATATGCTGAAGGCACTTGGCTAAATATACAAAGAGCAGTAAATAAAAGTTGATCACAGACTCACAAAAACAAGTTATTATGTGACTTATTCCTTACTAATTCTTTTCCCATGCTGCATTGCTTTCCCACCCCCCCTCTCTCTCTACATATATATACTATTTATAAATAGATAGATAGACATCTGTGTTCAGTGTTGCATGTTGAAATTTGAAATTATAGGATGTTATAAATGAGGCTTTTTTTTTTAAATTGTGTGTAAATGTGTGTGTATTGTACACATAATTTGGGAATACATTAGTGCTAGTTGGAGAATAAGCAGCCACTGTTCCCAGCAGGGAATAAAGGAAACCACCACTGAATGTGGGAAGGCCTTTCATGAAATTTGAAGTTTAAATCCGCCGCATGCTGCTTCTTTCCCAGCAGCCTAACGTCATCTTGTCAGTTTGCTATTGTAGTCAGGCACAGTCACAAACTTGGTTATTAGAAATGAATGGCTACAACTGGCTGATTGTGTGTGCAGATGAAAGAGCAGAGCTTAAATGTTCTGCATGGTACGATTAACCCTCCCACCCCATCCTCCACACACACACACACACACACGGACACACCATAGCCATTGTTACCACCCCTTTCTATACTTGGTTGTCTGTCTTCCACTGACTGCTTCATTCAAAATTGCAAATTTTGCTTTGCACTCAACCGATATTTTTTCAAAGTACGCCGTACTTTTTAAGGCAAATTTCCTACCATTTATGCAGCCACTGGCTGCATTGCAACCTTCTGGGTGTACCCAACCTGAGATAACAAATAGCTTTTATCAACTACAAAGG